ACTCTCTCTCTCTCTCTCTCTCTCTCTCTCTCTCTCTCTCTCTCTCTCTCTCTCTCCCCTTCTCAGGATATTTACTGTGAGACTAGTTGAATTTTTATTTATTTTTTGTTTTTGTTTGGTTGATTTTGGAACAGGGTTTCTCTGTGTATCCTTGACTGTCCGGGAACTCACTCTGTAGACCAGGTTGGCCTGAAATTCAGAAGAGATCTGCCTGCCTCTGCCTCTGCCTCCTGAGTGCTGGGATTAAAGGCATGAGCCACCAACGCCCAGCAAGTGGCTGCATTTTAAAAAATTAAATAAAAGCACTCAGGAGGCAGAGGCAGGCAGATCTCCGTGAGTTTGAGACCAGCCTGGTCTACAAGAGCGAGTTCTAAGACAGCCTCCAAAGCCACAGAGGAAACCCTGTCTCGAAAAACCAAAGCGGGGGAGGGGACTAAATAAAATGGAAGCACCTAGAGTGTTCTTCAATAGGGAAGTAAGCTGACGGAAATATACAATGAAGTATTTTTGAGTTAAAGAAAAGAAAGACGTGCATATACTGAATTGTAAAGGTGACTGAAAGGTTCAGGCTTTGACGCTGATAGGCTCTACCTCTTTAAGAGACAGACCCTGCCCCCTGACCATAGTCAGGGCATGCGCAAGAAAACGTGCTACGTTATCACAGGTCACCCATCACCCATGATGACTCTGGACATGGGTGGAACCTCAGTGCGCATGCGCAGTCTTCCCTTTAAAAGACCCAACTTTCCTGCTTTTCTCTCTCCCTCTCCCTCTCCCTCTCTCTCCTTCCCTCCCTCCCTCCCTCTTCTCTGTTTCTTCTTGGCTCTCTCTCAGCCTCTATGGCAACTGGCCATGGCAGTCAGTCATTACCCCTGTTCCTTTTCTCTCTTAGTCTCCTTACTCTGCTGGGCCCGTATAATAAACTAGTCAATATGTCTCATCCCTCAGCTTTCTCTTTTCCTCTTTTTAAATAAAAACATAACAGTGACCCCTCCTGGGTCCCCAGAGCAGCTGGGGTCACAGGTATGCCCACCATTCCAGACCCACACCCACAGCTCTGCTGCAGGGCACTAGTTCTGCAGCGTGGTGTGTGTGTGTGTGTGTGTGTGTGTGTGTGTGTGGTTCAGGAGCAGCAGCACATAGGAATTGTTCATAAACGCATGTTGTAACTAAACCAGACCCTCTGAAGCCTAGGATGAAAGCCTACTTAGCTAGGTAAAGGCCAGAAGTCTCTTTCAACCAATGGTCATGGTTTTAGATTGAGACTGCCCTGCAAAACCCCACACATTGAAGGCTCAATCCCCTGTGCAGCAGGATAAAGTGACAGGCCTGTGGAAGGTGATTGGATCAGAAGACCTCTGACCTACTAATGGATGGGTCTGCTTATAGACTCAGAGCTTGCTGGGTTTGGAGAATAAATTTTGTAATAAAAATAAGGTCTGTCTTTGCTTCTCAGGTACCACAAAACAAGAAACTCTCCTCACCACACTATCCCTGCCTCACCATAGGCCCAGAATGACCAGGCCAAGTGACCACAGTCTGAAACCTCTGAAACCACCTCTGGGGATGGAAGGGTTTGGCCCAGGAGTTAGAGCACTTGCTGCTCTTGCAGAGGACCAGAGTTGAGCTACCAGCACCCACATTGGGCAGATCACACCCCCTGTAATTGCAACTCAGATGATTCAGTGCCTCCTCTGGCCTCCACAGACACACACAGACACACACAGACACAGACACACACACACACAGACCACACACACACACACACACACACACACACACCAATCTTCATAAATTAATTATCTCTTCTTGGTACTGTATTTTTAGCGACAGAAAGCTGATCATAACTACATCATTATGGTTTTCTGTTTGTTTGTGTTTTCTAATAGCTTTACTAGAGTATGAGTCTGTTTACAGAGCAGAGTTTAGTGGATTTTAGTGTGTCCACAAGGCTTTGCAAACATCTATTCCAACTTCAAGCCTTTTCAGTGCAATGAAAAGAAATCCCAATCTCTTTGTCAGTCACTCTTTATTCCCCAACCCTCATTCCAGCCCCAGGCAACAAGTAATCTGCTTCCCGTCCCAGCAGATTTGCCAGCTCCAGACATTTCAGAGGAACAGAACCATCCAGTCTGTGGTCCTTTGTGGCCGGCTTCTTTCATACAGTGTGCCGTTTTCTCTTGAGGGTTATGATATGCCAGCATCTAAAAGGGGCTGCGTTAGGGTAGAAATAAAAAGGGAGCAGTCAGTCAGCGTGACAGACCAAGGACATAAAAAGGAGAATGCCCTGATCGGGAGACAGAAGGAGACGTGAGACCAGAAGGGCACATAAATGGCAAGCGTGAAAGGCAGCTCCATGTGGGAAAATCAGCTTATCAGTGTTGTTTCCAAAGTCTAGGAAGACCAAGACACACGTAGACCAAATAGTACTATGCATTAATTATACTTCTGTGTTTGCTCTGCCTGTGTTACAGCTTTAATCTTTTTATCTCCTTAACTGATTTTATCCAAGAGGTGATAGCTAAGGCCATGAAAGTGGGAGAAATCACCAAAGAAAGATGAGACTGTGCAAAAAGGGCAATGCTGAGGGCGGAGTATTAAAGGAATATTTTCTATTCCAGGCACAGGCACAAAACAGCTCCCATTCACTCCCCACTCCCACCCCTCCCTTGAACATGGTGCCCACCTTTAGTGATGGAGTCAAGATCTTCTGCCTGGAATCAGCTCCCTTTTAATCTCATCTGTATTAAAAGAGAAGAGAACCCTGATACAGAACAGTTAGGAAAGTGGGATTAGAATTAGTGATCACAGGTTCGTTCATGGAGGCAAAGGGAGCACATGTCGAGGAAGGCCATGTGTGAGCATGTGCCAGGGTGCACCTATGGCAATCAGAGGGCAACTGTCAGCATTGTGTACTCCAGGCTGCCTGGCCTGCTCGATTCTGTCTCCACCTGCCATTTTACCACACGAGTGTTGGGATTACAGATGCATGCCACCACATCCACCCCCCGCTTGTTTTTAAATGTGGGTTCCAGTTTGCATGGCTAGTGCTTTTAGCCTCTTAGTTGTCTCCCCAATTCCCCCCCCAAAATAAAAACAACAAAAAAATTCTTTTAATGGGCGGAGTGTGTTCTCCAGTGACTAATAATTGTACTCCATGGTAAGGAGATAGCAGCATGATTGATCCAGGGGGACTGCTTTGTTCTAACCTACAGAGTGATCCTCTTGTCACTCTTCTCCCATTTAAGGTAGTTTCCTTTGGGGAAGGAGATTGTGTTTAACTGAAGTCTAACAGGACTGAAGGGACCAGCCCCCCATTTTGGCAGCCATGACAGTAACACGTGCTTGCTATGACCTTGCCTTGGTCACTAGAGGTTAGGTGCCTGCCTCGTGACAAGGAACCAATCAGAAGTTAGCTGGTGGTGCTATGCTTTATGACCCTGGGTTTACTTTACAGACAAGCACACAGCAATGACACACAGAGCATAGCAACCACCCTGGGAGGGCCTATGGGCCATAACAACCAGTTGGCCAATCAACACAGGGCAAGCCCTCCAAGCCTGGAGGGGACACCAATCGTGAGCCTGTGCGTCCCCCTAGACACTCCCCTTACGCTGCCCTATAAGATGTCGGTCCTGTGGCTTCTCAGAGTCTTTGCTAGCCATCCTCCATGGCGGGTGGGTGAAAGACCCGAGCTAACATGGGGTTAGCTCGTTAAATTACAATAAAGCCTCATGTAATTTGCAGCAAGCTCTCAAATCTGCCTGGTGATGGGGTGACCCTGTGGCCTGGGACCCCGGATACCTGAGTTTTCCGGGGGTCTAACAATCCAAAACTTAAAAATGCTTACCCAAGCTGGGCGGTGGTGGCGCACACCTTTAATCCCAGCACTGGGGAGGTAGAGGCAGGCAGATCTCTGTGAGTTCGAGACTAGATTGTACTACAAAGTGAGTTTCAGGACAACTAAAGGCTGTGACACAGAGAAATCCTGTCTGGGAAAAAACAACAGCAACAATTGCTTACCAAGTGTCTACCCTTGAACTTGTTTTTACAATCATAATTCACTGAGAGGTTGCCAGGGAAACTGACCCCGCTGTATCACAGTAAGTGAATCAGTCATGATTTCCCACAATTCCCAGGAAGGATGGTGCTCACCTACCAGGGTAACCGTACAGCGCTCTCTGCTTTCCACCGGCAGTTTGCGTGCTTCCTGTCACAAGTCTAGGTGGTGCTTAGCCACCGATTCATGGAGAGCATTGGTAACTAGTGGTACCATCTTAAAGTGTGATCCACGACTGACTAGCCTTGTCAGCACCACATGGGAACTTAATAGAAATGTTCATCATAAGGCTGTGGAGGTAGATCAGTGGTCAGGGTGCCTGGTGAACACGCAGGAGGACCTACCTTGGGATCCCCCAGAACCCATGTGAAAAAGCTTGGTGTAGTAGCCCTTGTCATCTGTAACCCCAATACCGAGCTGGCTGGAGACAAGTGCATCCCAGGGGCTCAGATACCAGCCATCTAGCTTAAGTGGTGAAATCCAGATTCAGCGATAGTCTGTGTTTTTTTTTAAAAAAAAAAAAAACTGAGGTGTAGCAATGGAGAAAGATACCCTAAAGTCAGCTCCTGGCCTCCACACATTCTACTTTTTCCCTCTCTGCCTCCCTCTCTTTCACATCCACAGCAACTAAGTGTTCATCATAGAGCTCTCTGCAGACCTGGCCCATCAGTGGGGCCTAAACACCTGTGTTGAAACAATCCCCAAGTGATTCTGATCATGTGTCCAACTGTGAGACCCACACATGGCCATCAGATGCTAGGAATTGCCACCGGCAGACCCACATAGGGTGGTTAGTATTGATTTTAAACCTAGTTTGTCCCTGTTGACACTTTGCTTGCTGCTGTTCCGTTTTGTCCACTTTGCCTCCACAGATCATAATTTTTCTCAATACAGCGACTCTCTTGTATCCTCAGCCTTGTTCTACAAGGACATTTAATATGATTTCGTGCCCCCAATCATGCTGTGCACACTCCATTAAATCCTTTTATCATTACATGGCACGATGTTGGAATTATTAACTCACCCTTCCTGTCTCGGTAACTCGAGGCCCACCTCCATTCAAGCAGCTAGACCACAGGCCCCTGCAGTGCCAGGCAGGAAAAGGGCTCTTGACTTTGAACATCCTGAACCCTGCAGCTGTCACCCCAGAGGGAAGTTAGGAAGGACACCTCTGAAGAGCAGTGAGTCCCTATGTGGTGACCATGTCTTCCTGAGACTGACACAAAGGAAAGATCACGGTCCTGAGATGTCATTTGTCTGGGGATCTGTGAGGGCAGCCAAGCTGACTTTGGCTTCTGGGTGACATCAGCAGTGTGTTTGGCGAGTACTGAGAGGGCTGTGCTATGAGACTATGGCTGCTTGGGAATCGGCTAAGAGTGGGCAGAACGCATGAGAATGTGCCCACTTCTTTCCTGGGTGTTTTTTGTTTGTTTGTTTGTTTGTTTTTTTAATCTATTTAAACTTTCAAAAAAAGTAAGCAGACCAAGGGAAAATTGAAGTTCCCTTAGTTGAATTTGATCATTTAGAATACTTTTCAACTATGAAGAGTTTCATACAACTTAAATGTATTTTTCTAATCTTTGATATGTTGTCTTTCCTGAATAGAAATTTGGGCTGGGTTTGATAATCAACACCTTTAATCTCAGCCCCAGGGGTAGGCAGAGGCAAGTGAGTTCCAGACCAGCCTGGTCTACAGAGCAAGTTCCAGAACAGCCAGGGCTGCACAGAGAAACCCTGTCTTGGGAAACCAAAAAAGAAAAGTTTTGAGCATCAGATTGCCAGGGTCCAGCCTGTATCAGTCCCACGCTACAGAGGCTGTCTATTCTGGACTGATGTCTATTCTGGACTGGACTGATGGGGCTGCAAATAGAGCCAGCCGAATAGCCCCCGGTCCATCCCTGAGTGGGAGAGTGTGGAGCCGGAAACTCCTAGTTACCCAGTGGCGTTAAGGACGAGACAGACACATCTTGTCATCTCAGGAGGGCTCTCAGTCCATGCTGAAGACTGGAGTCCACGGTTTATTCAAGCATCCTCTTTCCAACAGTGGGGGTGATAGCAAAAGACTTCTATTATCATGTATAAAGCTAATATCAAATACTTCCTTTAATCCTAGAGGTAGTCTTAGAACTCCTCGTCCTCACCAGCCTCTCACAAGTCCCTAGGCACATATACAAAACCCCTTGCATTCTACCAGGCACACTTCACCAGGCCCCATGATGGGTTTGCGTCCACCCAGGAGTCTTGGTCCATTGCTACACAAACTATGAACCATTCCCCACCAGGGCCAGGCATCCGGAGGTAATCAGCTGCAATCTGAAAGACAATGGGAGATTCAAGCTCCTGGGATCTAGCTGAAATCTGCATCCCAAAATATAATAATGTTGGGCCCCAACATCAGACAAAAGGATTTGTTGTTGTTTTGGATTTGTTTGTTTGCTTCAAGACAGGAAATCCCTGTCTAGCTCTGGCTGTCCTGGACTTCAAGTTCAAAGAGATCCATTCCCTGTGTCTCTCGAGTGCTGGGATTAAAGGCATGCACCACTATACCTGGATTAGACAAGCATTTTTAAAGTACCTCATTTTCCCAAAGGGTAAAGAAACCAAATGTTAAATTAAGAAATGGTTCTTATTATTTGGAAAGTAAAACTTGTCAGGCTGGAGAGACGGCTCAGTGGTTGAGAGCACTGACTGATCTTCCAGAGGACCAGGGTTCAATTCCCAGCACCCACATGGCAGCTCACAGCTGTCCATAACTCCAGTTCCTGGGGATCAGACATTCTCACACAGACATACAAGCAGGCAAAACACCAATGCACATGAACTAAAAATGAATTTTTAAAAGTAACGTCATAGTTGCTCACTTGGAATAATTTGAAAAATTCATAACAATAGCAGGAAGTCAGTAGCCAGTGATGAGCCTAACTTGGTATTTCCCCCGTCTTTCTATGGTTGTCATTTTTGCTAACATCAAGAGCATGATCTACACAGATTTCTGTCTCTTCACTTACTACCTCATGGCATCCTTCTGTTTTGTTTTTGTTTTTTTTAAGGTCTAAAATGATGTTTGAATGTTAAATGACATTAGAAAAGATAACATTCTATCATAAAATTAACTGTTTCCTCATTTGGGGGCTTTTCTACCTTTTTTGCGACTGTAAAAGAATAATGCAAGCAACGAGTTGCATTTAGAATTTAAAACCTCTGATTATTTTCTAGGATACAGAATACCACAGGATTAACCAAATAAAAGGAGCTGATCATTTTAACGCCTTTCAAGTCTTAACGCCTACTGCAAATCTAAAGTGTAGTTTATTTTTAAATTACATTCTCTGTGTGTGTGTGTGTGTGTTAGACCCCCGAAAACTCAAGTATCTGGGGTCCCAGGCCATGTTCACGGTCACCCCAATCTCCAGGCGGATTCGAGAGCTTGCTGCAAACTGCATGAGGCTTTATTGTAATTTAACGAGCTAACCCGATGTTAGCTCGGGTCTTTGATCCACCCACCATGGCGGATGGCTCGCAAAGACAGTTCGAAGCCACTGAGTACAGATCTTTATAGGGCAGCATAAGGGGAGCGTCTAGGGGTATGCACAGGCTCAGGATTGTGTGTGCCTCCAGGCTTGAAGGGCTTGCCCTGTGTTGATTGGTCAACTGGTTGTTATGGCCCATAGGCCCTCCCAGGGATGTTGCTATGCTCTGTGCATCATTGCTGTGCGGTTGTCCGTAAAGTACACAAGGGTCGTAAAGCATAGCACCTCCAGCTAACTTCTGATTGGTTCCTTGTCACGAGGCAGGCATCTGACTTTCTACTGTCTAGGACAAGGTCATAGAAGCACGTGTTCGGCTGTTATGGCTGCCAAAAGGGAAGCTGGTCCCTGCGTGTGCGTGTGCGTGTGCGTGTGTGTGTGTGTGTGCAGGCACACCCTTGAGTGCAGAGACCAGAAAAGGGTGCCAGATCCCCTGGAGCTAGAGTTAAAGGTGGATGTGAGTCATGGGTACCGGAAACTGAACTCAGGTTCTCTGCAAGAGCAGCCACTGCTTTTAGCCTTATCTTCAGCCCTAATGTATAGTTTGATGACATCTACGAAGTACATACTTAATTATAGCTCTAAAAGTCCTGGATGTTAGCATTTTAAAATATTCTATAATATGCTTGCTAGCATCATTTTTATGCTAGTATGCTAACATCAAGTTTGTGCATTTGCTGTAGTTTCTCTTCCCTAGTGATTAGATTGAGCTGGGTCATCATTTCCTCCATCAAAGAGTGCTGTCTGGTTAGGCTCAGTTAACTTTCACTAGTTGGCCATTTTTTGGGTCCTCTGGGTGTTATCGCTTCCTTGGTGTTACTGCACCATTGTGCCTGTTACTAACACATTCCATTAGTTTGCCCTGTAATTTTAAGTATGCAATTTAACAAAATACTATGTAAAGCACTGTTCAGAAGGACTTCCAAAGGCAAACAGGTCAGACAAGTAGCTGCTGATCAGAGGTTTAAAAAAGTACCTCCTGTTTAGAAGCAGGAACGCAATGAAGTGTAGACTGTATTCGTCCCTTTGTAAATGCTACCAGGTCACACTCACTTTGAAGAAACTAGAATCACAAATCTTGAGGCCAGTGATTTCAGCAGGGCAGTACTGACCCCTAGGGGTTATTCTGGAGACACGTGGGGGCCATTTTCAGTTGGTTTCACTAGTGGCACTTAGTGCAAAATGGTCTGCACAATATTTAACCCCAGAGCATTCATATAGGTAAAAGCCTGGTTTTTGTTTTGCTTTTTTCCCTCTCAGAGAAGTGAAGTGCAACTCCCCAGTTTTGGACTTCATATAGTTCACTTTCTTCTAAAGAGTACAGTGTAGAGCCGGGCGTTGGTGGCACACGCCTTTAATCCCAGCACTCAGGAGGCAGAGGCAGGCGGATCTCTGTGAGTTCGAGACCAGCCTGGTCTGAGAGAGTGCCAGGACAGCCTCCAAAGCCACAGAGAAACCCTGTCTTGGGATGGGGCGAGTACAGTGTATAAAAGGAGGTGGGCAGAGGAAAAGTTTCAGGGAAATTTGATAAACATAACCTCAGCCGGCCACCAGGTTAAGTTAGTGATACATGCTGAATGCATATGCCCTCAGTACGAGTGGGCGTGTTACCTGCAGTCTTCCACTTAAAGATATATAACTGCACTTCATCATCGTCATCACACAAAACCAGAAAACCCCAACTGTGAAACAGTCCGTAAAATAGCTAATACTCCATAAAATTGTTGGGTCTTGCAGAACATAAGGCAATGAGAGTTTGGCTGAGCCTTGGGAATCGTTTTCAGTCCTTACCCAGACAAGTGAGGGATCCAGGCTACTTTCTTCCGCTAGACGTTGATCTACACCCAGCACTCAGAATGGTGTTAGGCATCCTTGATCATAAATAGTATTGACCCAAAGAGAAAAATGTTAAGTGGCAGAATGAGAAAGCCGGAGACATTTGGAGTCTTGCTATACAAACCCTCTATCAACCCGCTACAGTGCTTGCCACTTGGGCCTTTCCATGTTACCAACAGCATCATAGGAACATAACCCTCTCCACAGACATGTTGTCAACAGCAATTTCTATGTACTATGCTTTGGACAACTCTGGAGCCCTTCCAAACTATGTTTAAGCCTACTCCCCAAATCTGCATTCAGAGATGTCCTAATTAGGGTTTCTATTGCTTCGAAGAGACATCATGACCACTGGCAACTCTTGTAAAGGGAAACATTTAATTGGGGCTGGCTTATAGTTCGGGGGTTTAGTCCATTATCGTCATGGCAAGACATGGCGGCATGCACGCAGACGTGGTGCTGGAGGAGCTGAGAGTTCTCTATCTTGATCTGCAGGCAGCAGGAAGTGAACTGTGACAATGGGCGGAGCTTGAACACACAAGACCTCAAAGCCCACCCCCACAGTGACACACTTCCTCCAACAAGGCCACACCTCCTGATAGTGCTACTTCCTAACTAGGCATTCAAACACGTAAGTCAGTGGGGACCATACCTATCCAAAACAACACAGATGAGCTCTTCACATGCAGTTATGGCGGACCTCTCCAGAATGTGCCGAGTGTCTGGTAAAGACAGGCATGAGATAACTTCTACCATGTGAGGACACAGACCATGTCTGTCTCCAAGTCAGGAAGAGGACCCTTGTCAGATACTGCACCTGCTGCTGCCTCCAGGTTGGATGTTCCAGCCTCTGGGAGTGTGAAAATGGCTACACTACCTAGTCTATGGTATTTTTGTTACAGTCGCATACTATGAACTACCGTTTATACAGTTTGCTCAAAATGCCGCACTGGAAAGCCTCAAGTGAGTCTTTGGCCACTGGCTACTTAAGTCAGTTGCAGTACCAGTCCCGGTGTGCAGGTCTGCAGAAGACCAGCGCTCTCCATGACTTTGCTAAAGTAATGCTGTCCCATCATGGAGCAGCAGCAAGCTTCCCAAGCGCAGCCCGCTCTTCCCGTCACCACTTCCCAGAAAGGCATATCTGACAGTGCACTGTTCAAATTCCTGCCTAGGCCTGGCCACTTACATTTTCCAGTGCTTGTAGCAATGAACTTAAGGAATAAGGGTAATCTTTTGGATGGATTCTCTTATCAAGTACAGGAGTCTTTTTTTCCCCTAGAAATAAGGTTCTGGTTGTTAGATGAATTGGGTAGGCCTCCCATTTGGTGACTGTAGTACTGGACATTTGAAACCAGTCCTCCGAAATTTACCCACATTGTGATATCTGGTCTTTCTCCTGAATGTACTTACAATTCCCCAGAATCCTTTAGTTCTGTTTTTTTTGGGGGTGGGGTGGGGTGGGTGTTGTTTGTTTGTTGAGACAGGGTTTCTTTGTGTAGCCGTGGCTGTCCTAGAACTCGCTCTGTAGACCAGGCTGTCCTCGAACTCACAGAGATCTATCTGCCTCTGCCTCTTGAGTGCTGGGATTAAAGGTGTGACCCACCACACTTCATCAACCATAGAAACTACCTGACTTACAGTCTGTCCAGAACCATGTGTACCCTTGGCTCAGCATGCATTTACAAGACCTTCTCTTCAAGGCCAGCTTTTTACAGGAAAGAACTTGCTACACAGAATTTTACATATTAAACAGCGTTAAAGTTTTATTTCAGTCTATGATTTGTTTCAACTGCTCACATAAATCCATTTCATCCCCCAAAGAAGCCAAGTGCTTCCAACGGTGGAGCACTTGACATCACCCATCCAGACATCTTCCACTACAGCCTGCAAAAAACGTCAATGTAGCTTGACCTCAAATTGGGTGTTTTATCTTCCCGACCGTTTTCAAATTGCCTCTTAGATATCCATCATCAGTCAGCTGGCAGGGTAGACCACTGAGCTAACTCCCGATTGTTGAGTTATCACTGGAAATAATTTATCCTAAGTGAACACATGAAGACCCCAACATGAGGAAGACTCATGTGCGCCTAGCTCACACACAGTGTCACCTAGAACAGCCTGTGCCATAGAATTCCATACTTTCATTGTGGTGGTGACTCCTGAGAGCAAAGGGCACAAGGCCACTCACTCACTGCAGGTTTCACAGTAGAAGACTAACACAGGAGATACAATGAGGCATGATCCAGATACTAAAAATGATGATACAACCCGGTCAGTCAATATGTCTAGCCCCTTGCTTTCTGACACGGTAGCTGCAGTATTCATTCACACGCAGTATGCTGCAGCCTAGCCCATTGTCTAAGTACCCAGTAAGACTAATCCCCTCCTCCTCCACATTCCCAGAAAAGTAAAGTTAGTCCTTGAATTTGAAGGTACTTTATATATACAAAAAAAATTAGTATTTCTATCCATGTCCTTGTCAGCATGATTCAGAACTGCTCTCAAGAGTGTCTTCTCTTTTGTAAAATAAACATTATGCTGTTTGAAGTACATATGAAGTTTCATTTCTGTTCAGTCTTCTTTATTTTCCATTATGAAAAGTTATTTCTGAGGAATTGAAACCCCAGAAGGTAACAGCCCCCAAAAAGAAAAAAAAATATTTAAAACAAAATTTTAAATGATGAATCACAACCACACTCGAGAAGTATTTAAGACAGGCGGTAGCAGATGGTCTCTGGAGGGAATCGTCCTAATTATTATCTAGAAAGTCAAGTCACACAGCTTTGTCAAGGTCATAAGATAAACTGGTACTTGAAAATGAGGTTGACTAAACAGGAGGGGAGAGTTAAAAAAGAAAAAAGAAAAGCCCAGGAACAGGATAATGAAAAGGGTTTCAGAACGCCTAGAACTGCAGCCGAGATCCCTCAGGTCTGGATGCCTCTGGTGCCTGTGCAGCTTGTAGCACGACGTTTCTTGTCCCCACCATCACCGACACCCCAAAGAGCATTCTCACAGAGCTAAATAATCTCTGCTATTTTGTTAGGATTCAGAATTTCAATCCAGTAGCCGTCAGGGTCTTGAATGAATGCCAGACCTTTCATTTTACCTGTGTAATGAAAACTTTCATTACTGGAAAGGAACATTAAAAATCAAACACATTTTCATTACAATTTTAATTTGCATTTGAATGAGATACACTGTTGATAGCTTTCATTCTAAAAAGTTTGTTTATAATTGTTATCCTAATGCCTAGAATGTGACCTTCCAGAAGGAGCTGAAAACAGCCCTGTTAAGTATCAGGTGCTTGCCTCACCCATCACTGAAATTATTTAAGAAGGGAAAGAAGATAGAGGTATGCTCAAGGGAACAGGTAATGTGGCCTCTTTGAACAACCAAAACACCAGAGGCTTGGGTCATGTAAACTCTATTAAACAATACAGTAGGTAACCCAAGCCTTATCAAATCAGACTATGGCTCCTGGGGATTATAACCACGATGGTGTTGTTTACTTAAATGTTAAATGTGGCCTGAGAGATTGATTTATTTGGGGACTAAGATGCCGAACTCATATGACTATTGTGTCTGGCTCCTGACCCCAAGGTCAGGGAATACAAGTAAGGATGAAAAATAGAGGGAAAATACAACTAAATCTCCAGGGTGGTGGCTGAGGAGGAATGTATGAGGATGGAGGTGACTGTTTTAACCTACAGAAGGTAGTTTGGAGTCAGAACACAAGTTCTGAATGTGTGGCTGTGGGAGAATAAATAGGGTGTTTGCTTCTGCCTCCCTAAGGCAAGCAACACCCGCCCTTGTACTTGGGAGGGGCTTACCTACTGATTTTCAGATGTCCTCAAGAGTGAAGGGGGACACAGAGAGCTTGTCTAGTGAGGAAGCTAGGAAGAATAAGCCAGCTAGCCTTCCTTACTGTGCCCCCCCCCACATGCACACAGGGCCAAGTATGGCAACCCTCAGGTATGTCTCCTACTAACACTGCTTTGCACAGATGGGGAAAAGCCTCTGACAGAAGAGCTGTCATTTCCAGGAGGCAGGAAACTCAGCCCATGGCTTATCCAACCTGTCTTCCTGAGATCACACAGATCCTTAGGGACAGTCCTCTTCTGCCAGTCATGTGGCCTGGTGGATTACAACAGCTTACAGTTGTTGGAAAAAATAGCTCAGAGGCTGAACTAACATAACCTAGGAACATAATTATATGGACTATAAATTTGACTTCACCATGCAATATTACAACAATGGACAAAGGACTATTAAAACGTGTAAAAGTGAAGAGTGAAGCTCTGCTCATGTGAATGAAGGAAGACAAAGAAAACATCAGGGAGCAAGGGATGAAAACAGAAACAAAGACTCTCCAGAGGACAAGGCTGACAGGAAGTGGCTAAAGCATTTGCTGTGCAAGCGTGAGGACTGGAGTCTGGATTTCAAGAACCTTCCTAAGAAGGCAGCAGGTGGGCAAGCCTGGTGATGAGGGTGGAGCTGTGATCTCCAGGGAGCTCAGGCTTCGGTGAGATACCCTGCCTTATGAAATAAAGTGGAAGAGTACTTGAGGAAGATGCCTACTGTCAGCAGAGGCGTACTACACACAGGTATACACACCACACACAGACGCACACACACCACCACACAGACACACACACATGCATATACACCACTCTCACCACTCTCACCACACACACACACACACACACACACACACACACACACACGCATACACACCACACTCACATACACACCACTCACACACACACACATGCATACACACCACACTCACACACACATGCATATACACCACTCACACACACACCACACCCAGACACACACACATGCATACACACCACACTCAGACACACACCACACTCAGACACACACATGCATATACACCTACTTACATACACACCACACATACACACCACACAGACACACAGACACAGACACTCACACACCACACTCACACACCACACATATGCATACACACCACACACCAACACACATGACACACACACCACACAGAGACAAGAAAGAAAAAAAAAGATGGAAAAATCAGAATAGACAGATGTGAGGGAAAAAGTACCTGGTAAACCAAAAAGCTCCCAGAAAAGAAAACAATACAAGGTCAAAGACTCTGATGGCAGCAGAGTGTTCAGGGCACATGTATACAGAATGGCAGTTAAGCAGTGTTTTCAGGAATGAAGGAAAATGAACCTAGGATTCCCAACAGAACTCATCGGCTGTGCCTGGTTCTCGTGCATCTGTCTCAGGGGTCTAACCTCCCAAAACTTCAGGACATAGTCCTGGCAGAGGTGCCAGGACAGGAAAATCTGAAAGATGCTTCAAGAAAAAAACGGAGTGAAGATGTTCAAAATACTGTACTATTTATCTTCCAAAAGATGTGATGGCCAAAGAAAAAGAGGATAAGTCAGTCACCCAGTCAGGTGACAGCAGCTGACATGAGCAGAGGGAAAAGCTGGTCACTTATTGAGGAGATCCCATAGTAACAATTTGATTAAAATGTCTCATTTATTTTTCTCTGAGTTTTTGTTATGTGGTTGATTGGTTCGTTTTGGTTTTGTTGTTATTGTTGTTGTTTGGTTTTGGGTGCTGGGAATTGAACCTGTGACCCAGTACATGCTAGTCAAGGGCTCTACCCATGAACTACTTACTGCTTAAGCTCACAAAATGTCTCAAACTGTGGTGCTATAATGTATTACTTAGGAGGCCAAAACAAGTGAATCACAAGTTCATGGGCAGCCCAGGCTACATGGCAAAAACCTATTTCCAAAGTTAAAAATAAATTTTAAAAAATTAGGGAGGTAAGAATAGCTCTAAGTACAATAATAATGATACACATAAATCCAACAGAATTCAGGTATATGTCATCTCAAGACACTTACCCAAAGCATAAGCATATACAATATTGTATAAAAGACTGGAAAACATCAGTTATTCACTAACGCAAGCTGGAAAAGTTATATTAACAACAAAATACACTCCCGAGAATTCATTTAGGACAACTACCTACTCCCTGAAGTCCTGAAAGCTGAAAGCCAACAAGAGAAAGTGGCAGGGCTGGGGAAGGGGAGGCGAGGTTTTCACGGCTCTCCAGAGCCTGTGTCCAGTCCCTGGTGAGGCCACACTACATGGTCTCTTACGAGAGCCAGGTATTCTCTTCATGTTCCTTTGCTCCTAAGACTGCTGGAAAGAGCTTCCTGTTTCATGCATCCAATCGGCAAGAGCCCAACAGCCACTTAGACATATTAACCAATATGTGTATCCAATCAGCATGATTCTAACAACACTCGGAGCATGGGCTGACTCACCATCATCAGGTTTCTTCACAAACTTGACTCCCAGCTCTTCAAATCGTTTACAGGCACTGTAGACATCAGGGACAGCAATCCCAATGTGACCTTTGGTGAAACCATCCCCCCAAAACAACAAAGCACAGGAAGAAGTTATTACAAGAGTACACTCAAGTGCCACAAATGGCTTCCAAAACTTACTTCAAAACACAAGACCTTTGGAAACAGTTAAATAGGTCTAAAATCTATGTATTAAAAGACTAGCACCTGTCTGACCAGCCAGTTACAATCAAATAGTTGTTCTGAGCTGTTATTTTAAATAAACCAATACTAATGCATAGTTCAATCTGGTTACAATAATCTATACCCAAAAGTTTATCCGATGAGGTCAGAAGAGGGCATCAGATTCCCTGGGACTGGAATTATGGATGGTTGTGAGCCACAATGTGGATGCTGGGAACCAAGCCCCAGTCCTCTACAAGAACAGCAAGCATTCTTAACCACTGAACCATCTATCTCTTCAGCCCCTTGACAAGACACCACCAGGAAATGGGATTACTATTAACCATAGCTATCATTGTTTTTAATGGACCACTCTCCTAGAAGGAGATGGAGGGACAGCTTAGTGGTAGAATGCTTGCCAGGCATGTATAAGGCTGTGGACTCGGTCCCTAGCCCTACAACAAAGCTTACTGGAAACATAATACTGTGACTTTACAGTATAATATTATGAGACATCAAACACAGTGTTTGGCCTAATACTGAAATTAGACAGCTGTTAAATAAGATTTGCAGGAAATAAAAACAACCATATCCCTAATAAGTTAATTATCCTGGGAAACTAGGTCATTCATGTCTTAGGTTTACTGTAACTATGTACATCATGTAGAATCACACATATCACAAACATATAATGCTGCAAACATACCAAATCCCCTAGGGTCTGAGTTGCTGTTGTGGTAACTTTGGGTCTCATCATCTTCAGTGCCCCAGTTGCTACAGAGGAAAAGAAAACAACTGTGATCCCAGGCCTTAACTGTCAACTTGAGGGACTTAGAACCAACCCAGCAGACGCACTTCAGGGTGTGTCTTCTCGTGAATTCCCAGAGAGAAGACCCATCTTCCAGTGGTCCTGCATCTGTTGCTGCTACTCTCAGCTGACAAATAGGCTCCAGCTTGTCGGCCTTCTAGGGAGCTCCAAGTCCTCCTATACCAGTTTAGGACTACTGAGCCATCCAGATTTGTGGACAGAGCAGCTACTGGGTTCTCTGCTTCTCCAGTGTTCAGAGAGCCATTGTTGTGACTGCCCAACCCCTACTGTGTAAGTCAATCTAATAAATCTCCTTTTATATCTATGTTTTGTTTTGTTTTGTTTCAAGACAGGGTTTCTCTGTGTAGCTTTGGAGCCTGTCCCGGAACTTACTCTGGAGACCAGGCTGGCCTTGAACTCATAGAGATCCGCCTGCCTCTGCCTCTGCCTCCTAAGTGCTGGGATTAAACAAGTGCACCACCACCACCACCTCTGGGATATGTCTACATACTATTGGTTCTGTTGGAGTTTTGCCTAAGATAGTAACTTACAGTTCTGCCCTTAGAATAGCCCACAAAAGGGAATCTCTCTGAAGACTTACTCTGTATGCATGCTACTTTACTACAAATATTGAAGAAAGAGCAAGCTGGCAGAGAATATTCTAACTAGGTTAAGAAGATGATCAAAGCTAGGCAGCCAGATAAAAGCAAGAATAAAACTGCAGCAACTATCATTGTCTGCACTGAGTTCTACATGTGTCATTAAGCAGCAAAACAGCTCCACGCCCGGACAAGATTTGAGCATTTCCATCCTAGAGATAGATGAGACCACCACTTTTGCAAGTCTGTCTAAATCAAGGGATACATACTAACAGAGGCACATCACAACAAAGGCTCTTTTCTTAGTTGCTAAAAAAATAAAAAGAAACAGTGTAAAGAAATGAAAAAAAGGCTGGGCATTGGTGGCTCACACCTTTAGTCCCAGTACTTTGGAGGCAGAGGCAGGTGGATCTCTGTGAGTTCAAGGCCAGCCTGGTCCACAGAGAGAGTCCTAGGATAACCTCCAAAGCAACAGGGAAACCCTGTCTCGAAAAACAAAAAAACAAAACAAAACAAAAACAAACAAACAAAAAAACAAAGAAAAGAAAAGAAAAAGAAAAAGAAAGAAAAAGAAATAGGGAATCATTTAATTCTGTACTTTTAAATGTTGAGGTTATAAATGCCATAAAATTTGAATGTTAGTTATTACAAAATGATGTGCTGACTCTTTAAAAGGAACATATTCTATAACGTTTCTGGATCAAAAACATAGCAAAATAATAAAAGGGCAAAAATATAAATATCAGAAGATTTTAGAAGAATCTGTGCCAGGCAGTGGTGGTGAACGCCTTTAATTCCAGCACTTGGGAGGCAGAGACAGGTGAGTCTGTGAGTCTGAGGCCGGCTACAGAGTGGTCTACAGAGTAAGTTCCAGGACAGCCAGAACTGCTTCATAGAGAAACCCTATGTTGAAAAACAAAAAAACAAAAACAAACAAAATCTGAATCTGTAAGATATAAGATTTATAATCTATAGTCTGACAAATATCTTGCCACTTCAGGGTCTTATAGTCTCTAAAAGAAAAATATTCTCTCTGTCCTATTGAAACCATAAGAATAACACAAAGGCCCAAATATTCACTCTTTAAAAAATATCAAAAATTGATTTAGAGTGGTAAGCACAAAAAAGGTTTTTTAAAAATATCGATGGGAACTGAGGATATAGAGACCAAAGCTGGTACGCACTGTGTCAACTCAAGGGTGGCTTTCCTGGAGAACGTCCATGCTGTTCTTTCACTCTTGTCTTTAGGGATGTCATTCTTATCCTCGTAAGCCAAGAAATAGAGGGAAAATTTCATCGAAGGAAAATCAAACTTTTGAAGTAGCCTGAAATTGAAAGCCACAGCCATTTATAATAGCAAAGGTTGATAACAAATTCAACATAATATTTCTGTTCTACTAGGAATGAGGTCTATAATGTGGTTACTTTAGTGAGAAAACCATGTGCAAAAATTAGTGTGGAAAAAGATGTCTTTTGTAGCTCCATCTATAACGTGCTTTCGGAATAAGCATAAAGACCTGTGATCCCCAGCACCCACGTAAAAAGCCAGGAGTGATGGTATGTGCTTGCAACCTCCGCACTGGGAAGGCAGAGACAGGCACACCTGTGGGGCTTGCTGACAAGCAAGCATAGCAAGTACCAAAAGAGAAACCACACCCAAAGTTGATCTCTGACCTTTGTACATGGTATATTCCCTTGTACTCGCGCGCGCACACACACACACACACACACACACACACACACACACGTTCTGAGAGCCAAAGAAGCATTGAATTAATATCGAGTGGATGAAGTCTTGGGTAACTGTGTATTGTTGGCATGAGCATGGCCATGTCAAGGACCAATGCTTAGACCCATGGGAAGAGAAGAGCCCCACCCCCCATGCCCCTAGGCTCAGAGGGATGGCAAAGCCCACAGTGTGGGCAAAAGCCAGCAGCTGCAGCTTCTCCTCCAGGGTGCTTACTGCATGAGACTGCTGCCTCCAGACACCTCCTACTGAGACTAATCCTTGTACTGACATAGAAAACACTGTGTGGTTCCAGGCTCCCGCAGTGGCTGGTACCACTCCATCAGAGTACCCACAGACCTCCGGAGCCCAGTTTTTCTGTGCCCACACAGCTGTTTCTTTAGTGCCTGTTCTTTCTTTACTCCTTCGAAGCCCCTAGTCAGGGTTCCAGTACCAAGCTGTGTGGGGCAAGGTTCTCTAATTCATCAATTCTTTCTCTCCATTTTATTGTTTTGTGAAACATGCTCTTACTGTGTAGCCAAGGATAGCCCGAACTCACTAGATAGTGTCAATTTGTTCATCCCTACTTCAGCTTCCAAGAGTGAATAATCTCTCAATTATTCAAATTCAGTGAAATTTAGATTTTTGCTTCAGTGAACAAAGACATCCCCTATCATTCTTTCAGTTAAACACATCTACTGAGTTCTTCAGAAAGCATCAGGAAAGGAGATGAAGGTAGGCTGCAGGAGAGAAGGGCAGACTAATATCACAGAAAATGTGAATGTCAATAGGAGGGTTAAAGTGTCAAATACTGCAGAAAGGTGAAACAGGATTAAGACTTCGAAAAGGTCACAGGACATGGAAAGGCCTTGTGAGAACAGCTTCAGCATGGCTAGGCAGCTAAGCAGGGGCCAGGAGGAAGGAGGGAAGTCAAGCAAGAGGGCAGCCAGCAGAGCCTCTGCAGACCTGATACAGACAGAGTGACAACGGAAAAACAGAGCAGAGGGCAAGAAAGTCTCCAAAAACATGTGTTTGCAGGTAGAAAAGGGAGACAAGGAGAGACTTGGTAGAAAGGGTGAAGGAGCCCCAAGGTTCAAAAAGGGGTAAGTTACAGTTTATCAAGTCAGTTTAAAGAACAGAAGATCACAGGCAAGCAGAGCAATTCATATAATACCATCTTTTTTAGACTATTGAGGATTATGCTCAAAGATGACACTGTTCATAATCAAGAGCAAGTGCTTGATGCCTAGCAAAATGTCTGTATGCGAGCATGCATGTGTGTGTGTGTCGCAAGCGAGCACACGTGGTGTGTGTGTGTGTGTGTGTACAAGGGTACTTGTATAGGGAGCGTGCATGAAGACAGCGGTAAGAGGTTGACACGGGTGTCCTCAATTGCTCTTCACTGTCTTTTACTCACCCTTGACCTCAGAGACAGTGTCAGTAAGTGACCCTAGCTGGACTGGAATTGCTAAGTAGACTAAGCTGGCCTCAACTCAGAGCTCCACCTGCCTCTGCCTCCTGAGTGCAAGGACAGAGTCTTAGACTCTTTGTCTCTAGCAGCATGACTGCAGGTGCACACCACCACACCAGCAACAGGACTGCAGGTGAACATCACCACACCAGCAACAGGACTGCAGGTGCACGCCAGCATACCAGCAACAGGACTGCAGGTGCACGCCAGCACACCCAGCACTTTTACATGGGTTTTGGGAGATTGAAATCTCCATGCTGTCATGGCAAACATTTCATCAACTGAGTCATCACTCTGCACCCCAAGCAAAGTTTCCAGAGTTCTGCTCCAATCTTTTATCTACTTATCCCTGTTATCAATATGCCTGGACCACTAGACTTAGGCATTGATTAACCACAAATAAATTTACCCCACAAAAAAGTCAAACACCTCAGGCTGGAGAGACGGCTCAGAGGTTAAGAACATTGACTGCTCTTCCAGACGTCCTGAGTTCAATTCCCAGCAACCACATGGTGGCTGACAACCATCTATAACGAGATCTGAAGTCCTCTTCTGGTGTACAGGCAAACATGCAGACAGAAAACTGTATACATCAATAAATATGCAAATTTGAAAAAAAAATCAAACACCTCAAATAAAACCATCGTAAAAACTGTCTCCATTCCTACTAACATGACTGTCCCAGCCTTAACAGCCAATCAGATGGGCACCAAAGCAACAAAAGCCGCTTGCTTTCTGCAGGAGTGAATCAGGTTGGTCTATCTGGAACCTCTTTAAAAACAAGGGTCAACAGTGGCATCAGCTGCATACGGATTTAGCTCTGCCAACCGTGGGGCCTAAGACCAGACCCTTCATTTCTTCACCTGTCAAAGGAGGACATCAGCTATCCGAACAGTCTGCTGCCAAGGCACAAGAGAATAACAGGGCTGGTGCCTGGCCAAAAGCACATGCCCGGTGGATTTGCTTTCACTCTGGCCAATAGCATGTGCCCGGTGGGTTTGCTTTCACCCTGGCCAATAGCATGTGCCCGGTGGGTTTGCTTTCACCCTGGCCAATAGCATGTGCCCGGTGGGTTTGCTTTCACCCTGGCCAATAGCACGTGCCTGGTAGATTTGCTTTCATTCTGTCCTTTAAATATGCTGTGCACACATGGAAAGCCACCCTTTCTGGAAAGGGTCTCAAGAATTTAAGAGCGGTTTGGGGACAAGGACCCAGAGAAGGGAGTTATTCCTCTTCAATTTATATTTTTCAGAACTGTCCATGTTTTCTAAGCGTACATAATACAGATGGACTACTTGAGTTGTTCTCTTAAAATTTGTGGAAGAAAATGGAAGGCAGTAACTTAAAGATCATTTCACTTAATACATGTGCCATCAAAAACCTCATGATGGTATTTGGGGAAATTAACCAAGAAAAGTCAAATCATCAGTTATATCCCAATAAAGGCGACTGAAAAGAGAACTCAGCACTCCGAAATGTTCAGAGTTAAAAACCCCGTTGCTACTACCCCTTTAGCAAGAGATAATGCAGCCTAGGCAAATGGAATCAGGGACCGATTTTAAATAAATCCATTCATTTTCTAAATAATATGCCCTGACATTAATGATTCCCCAAGCAAGCTGGACTAAAAGTAGTCCAAGTATTTAAAGGGTCTGAACGATGAAATATTTAACTGGTCAGCTCTCAGACAGAAGGAATCTGCAGACAATGAACATGCTTTCTATTGCCCTCACACCTTGAGCAGTCCTGACACAAATGAAACTTAACCAAAGTACTGTCTAGTCAGACCTCCTTGCAGGCTCCTCAACCAGACTATTAATGCTGTGCTTTTTAACATAAAGGCAATAAGAACACTTACGTCAGTCCAAGAACCCTCGTATAAAAATCCAGGGACTTCTTAGGATCCTTAATTCTCAGCATCGTTTGCTGCATTAGGAAGTCCTAAGGGGAAACAACAGTGTCTGTTAAGTATCTTTAACTTTCAAGGCAGCAGCTTTCACTAGGCTTTCTGTGTTGAAACAGAATAGCCCAGCACTGTAATGCAAACAGAAAACAGGAAAGGAAACCCCAACTTCAGCCTCAAAGGTAGCTTCCTCAAGCAGTTCCCACACCTATCAAGAGCTCCACTCCCAAACTCTCTGCCCAGTGTGGTCCAGCTGCACGCTTCTAGGTGGGGCAGCTGAGAGCCAGTGAGTTACCAGTACAGGAATGCCCTTCAACTAACAGTGATTTGAAAAAGCTAGCTGTCGTAGTCACTGAGGCTTGGTGGGCCCTTTGTGCTTGTTTTGGTTTGGTTTGGGGCTGCTGAGGCAGTAGCTCATATAGCACACACACAGGCCTCAAACATGCTGTGTCCCAACTGGCCCTCAACTGACCTCTCAGCTTCCATACACAAGTCCTAAGGTTATGGGCAAGAGCTACCAGTGCTTGCTTTAGTGAGAGGACTATGAAATGATTGACTCCCACATGCTCCCCACCCAGTGGCAGAAAACAATTTTTTTTTTTTGCTGGCATTCCACACCTTCAAAATAAACTACTAACGAGTGCATCCCTTCTCTACCTTGATTTTGTGCAACCAAATCTACAATTTTATTTGGCATAACAAAGAATCCAACTTATATGCATATATATAATTTCTGCCCTCTGGAGACAGGTTCTAAAGCAGCCCTGACTAGCTTGGAACTCAAAAAGCAAATCTAACCTCACAGAGATCAGCCTGAGTCCTCTTCCCAAGTGCCAGGATTAAAGGTGTGAGCTACCATGCCTGGCTCTACATTGCTTGTTAGTCCTTGGGCTCTGGCACACTCTTGAAAGACCCCCAGAGGCTCAGGCCCCCAGGATTTTGGTCCAGGAAAGTGACAACCCCAATTACCGGGCGGAGGCAGAAACTTAATGCAAACTGCACGAGGCTTTATTGTAGTTGTTTAACGAGCTAACTCCATGTTAGCTCGGGCCTCTCGTCCATCCACCATGGCGGATGGTTAGAAAAGACAGTGAGAAGCCACTACATAGAGATCTTATAGGGCAGTGTAAGGGGAGTGTCTAGGGGTACGAAGAGGCTTAGGATTGGTGTGCCTCCAGTCTTGGAGGACTTGCCCTGTGTTGATTGGTCAACTGGTTGTTATGGCCCATAGGCCCTCCCAGGGTGGTTGCTATGCTCTGTGCATCATTGCTGTGCACTTGTCGTAAAGCACACCCAGAACTGTAAAGCATAGCGCCACCAGCTAACTTCTGATTGGTTCCTTGCCATGACGCAGGCATCTGACCTCCTAGTGACCAAGGCAAAGTCAGGCAAGCACGTGTTAGCCTGTTATTGCTGCCGAAACGGGGAGCTGGTCCCTTCACTCTTTTTGCAGAAAGAAATTGCCTTGAGAAGCTACTCTCACCTTGATCCTTTGGGCCACCCTGCGAGTCTTGTGTCTATCAATTTACTGGTAACCATGTTAACTGGCAAGACCTTACAAAGGTCTTAGACTCCTAGAGAACCAAGAAGAAAAAGAGTGCCTTAACACCTTTGTGAAACCCTTCAATTTCCACAGAAAACGAAAGGCTTAACTAAAAAAAGGGTAGACACTGCATAAATTCACAGGGTTAAAATTGCTACTAACAGCCGGGCGTTGGTGGCGCACACCTTTAATCCTAGCATTCGGGAGGCAGAGGCAGGTGGATCTCTGTGAGTTGGAGACCAGCCTGGTCTACAAGAGCTAGTTCCAGGACAGGCTCCAAAGCCACAGAGAAACCCTGTCTCGATAAACCAAAAAAATTTCTGAAAAAAAAAAAAAAAAAAAAAAAAAAAAAAAAAAAAAAGCCACTAAAACTGTGGTTAAGAGTTGATTTGTTTAGGCATGGTAACCATCTTATTTTTTGCCTGCAGTCCAAGCTGGCCTTGAATTCACTAGGTGGCCAAGGATGACCTTGAACTGCTAATACACCTGACTCCGCCTCCCAAATGCTGGGATTACAGGTGTCCATACACTGCTTTGCCCAGGTCTGGGAATCCAAGCCCAGGCCTGTGCATGCCTGATAAAATAATAGTATGAAGCATTTATATGTACAAGTATTATCTTCACTTTATAAATGAGAAGCCAACACTGAGTAATTACATTAACTCTTGTAAATTCAGGTTTTCTTTTACCACATGCACCTTTCACCCTAATCTACTGTTAGTCCATTGTACTTGTGGACTTAACATAACAGGCCTGAAAACTCTGATCACCCTTTTGCAGCTCTGATAGTTAATGCTATCAACTGGACAGGATCTAGAAGCAACAAGAGGCAGTGTAAGGGATAATTTAGATTAGGTTAGCCTCCAGGCTTGTATGAGGGATTTAGAGATTTCCTTCCTTCCTTTCTTTCCTTCCTTCCTTTCTTCCTTCCTTTTGGTTTTAATTTTTCAAGACAGTGTTTCTTTGGCTGTCCTGGAACTTGTAGACCAGGCTGGCCTCCAACCCAGAGATCCACCTGCTCTTGCCTCCAAAATGCTGGGATTAAAGGAGTGCTCCACCACTTGCTGGGGCTTTTTTGATTTTACTTTTGGTTTGGTTTGGTCTTTTTCCAGAGTTGAGGGCTGAACCCAGGGCTTTAGGTGATCTACCACAGAGTAGATTAATCAAAGTGGGGAACACCCACCATAAATATAGGTGACACCATTCCATGGCCTTGGGTCCTGGAGTGCAAAAGAAAAGCTAGCTAAGTACAAATAATTTTCACTTTTTAATTCCTATCTGTGGCTGTGATGTGACCAGGTGCCACCTCCAGCCCCTACCACCATGGCCTCCCCACCTTAATGGAATGTGATGAACTGCAAGCCAAAATAAGCCCTTCCCTCCAAGCAGCTCTCATCAGGGTATGTCAACACGGCAATGTGAAGATTTGTCATTGTGACTGGTTAATAAAGAAGCTGACTGGCCAATAACAGCTCAGGATAAGGTTAGGCAGGAGAGCCAGACTAAGAGAATGCTGGGAGGAAGGGCGGGGTCTGGAGTCGACAGCCAGACACAGAGGGACCAGGAGATGAAAATGCCGTGGTAATAAAGGTGCCACACACGTGGCAGAATGTAAATAAGGAATATGGGTTAATTTAAAATGCAAGAGCAAGGTCAGTGACAAGCCTGAGCTATGGAAGAGCAAGGTTAGTGACAAGCCTGAGCTATTGGCTGAGCATTTATAATTTATATTTGAGTGATTATTTGAGAGTGGCTGTGAGACAGGAAAAATCCCGCCTACAAGTCATGCTTCGGCCAAACAGCCTCCTCCCCCTAACTTACGTCATATAAAATACAAATACACTATTGTTTATCATAAAGAAATGACCTTAAAGAGCACTTAAATTCATTGTTCATAGGTAGCAACTTCTGGGCTGGTCCAGATCTTTGGCCTAAGATGGAGTCACCTAAGATACCAAGATGGACAACCCCTGTGGGACCCAGCACCTTAAGGGGGTTGGAAACTAAATGTTGTACATGTCTCATAAGTATGCTGACCCCTTGTCTGGGAGCTTGTCCACAGCCTCCTGCTATTCTAAGGGCCAATAAAACTTTGCTTACTGCAATCCCTTTTGCCTATGAGAATTCCTTTTTCTTTAATGCTCTTCTCCTGCCCAACTAAAAGCACCCTATAAGACCCCAAAGTCCTTTTTGGAGGTGCTGCACTCCCTTCTCCTGGGGACAGCCAGGCAGCTCAAACCCTGTACTTGGATTCTCAGTGTGGCTCTCATGGTCTGTGTCTCTCACTATGTCACACAGCATCCAGGTAAGAGGCAGCTGGCTCCAGGCTCCACTTTTCTGGACCCTCTTGGTCTTTTCACATCCAGAGCTGCCCTCCCCTTTGACAATCAGGTAAGAAAGAGATGAGCAGCTCACTGACCAAGCACTGACTGCCTGGATCTGTCCTCTGAACGTGGCCATAAAAAAAGTCACTCTGGGGCTACAGTGAAATGAGACAAAACAGACTTTTTACAAAGCACCAAGACCACTTTCATGTCACATGCTGGTTTAAGCAGAGGGTAAAACTACAGTAAGCATCTCCCTTCCCCCAGTGAATGTGAGCGCCTGCTGCTTCCCTATCAATTACCGGGCTTGTGTGGAGAAGCCAAGTCCACCGAGATGCTGATGTGTGTGCTCTTTCAGGCCACACAGAGGTCATTTCAAAGGCTGTCCTTGGCAGGCCTCATCAGAAAAAGCCAGCCTCCCACAGTAGGACTCCAGCTCCAAGGAATCTGATACCCCTTCTGGACTCCACAGGCACTTACACTCACATGAACATACCCACACACAGACATACCAACACATAGTTAAAAATAAATCCTGAGCCAGGCGGTGGTGGCCAATGCCTTAATTCCAGCACCCGGGAGGCAGAGGCAGGCGGATCTCTGTGAGGTTAAGGCCAGCCTGGTCTACAAGAGCTAGTTCCAGGACGGGCTCCAAAGCTACAGAGAAACCCTGTCCAAAAAAAAAAAAAAAAAAAAGCCGTCAGACCAAGTAAGCTGGGGGGGGAGGCAGACTGAGTGATAGACAGATAACCCCACCATTATGGCCACTGACAACCAGCAAGGAAACTGGGGTGTCGGCCCAACCTCTGAAAGGAAAGAGATCAGGCAACACTGGAGCCAGGAGCAGATGCTTCTCTGGGGATGCCAGTAAGGAATGAAGCTCTGCCTATATCCTGACGTTACAAGTGGGACTCTTGTCAGACTTCTGTACAGCTGTGAGGCCAAACACTTCGTGTACCCGTGGCTTGTCCCTGTGTATACAGGTAGCAGGTGCACATGCCCGTGTGTGTTCATGCATGTGGAGGCCAGTGCTGTTAGAAGCTGTCTACCTTGTTCTGGGCGGCAGAGTCCCTCATTTGGCCTGGAGATCCCAGAGCAGGCCTAGCTGGACGGCCAGAGAGCTCCAGGGACTCATCTACCCCTGAATCCATACTGCTAAGCTTACAAACGCACACCTCCATGCCTGACCTTTTTTTTCTAAACAAGGGTCCTAGGGCTTAAATTCAGGTCTCCTAAGCTGCTTCCAACATTACTGGTCCTTTCTTCAGTATCACAAGGCATTCCTTTTGTCATGCAAAGGGAGAAAACACACAAATATGAGAGGAATTCTTTGTTTTGAGCTGGCAATAACATGGCTCTACAATTGTGACAGTGAGAGAGCCCTTACTTTCCTCAAGCTCTGTTTCCATACCTGTGGGATGAAGACAGTCTATGGCTGAGCCAAAGGATAAATTCAGTAATGTAGTAAAGTACATAGCAGAATGCCTGGCCCAGGGCAAACCCCTTTGTCTTGCTGCTGCTATTGTAAGACAAAACCAGAGGTTCCATTACACCGTTGGTTTTGGTTACCAAATAAACATTCCCCAGCCCAACCCTCTAACCTCAACTCTGGACTCCCACCTTTGGCCTAGTCACCACATCCACTTGTGCCAGAATATCAAAAGCGCCGAAACCCAAACACAAGAGAGAATGCTCCGGCCACTCCTCGTTAAACCAAGTGAGACATGCATGAAGTCTTCCTTGGATCTTCTCAAGTCTCCCCAATTCAATCAGAACAACCCGAGGTGAACTGAATAGGTTCTAAGCCAAGCCTACCACTTCCTTGCCTGCTTAACCCCCTGGGAATCCTCCTTCTAACCTTCCTAACAATCCATAGCTCAAGTCCTGTCCAGTTCCACCTGGACAGCTCTCTGCTTCTTGCAGGCTTACTCCAAAACAATGTGGAATGATAGTTCTAGAATCAAAATCCTGGGCTTAAAAAAAAAAAAAAAAAAAAAAAAAAATCAATCCTTCCCAGTAGACTCTCGACACTTCAGGGATAAAGGTCCACAAGGCCCCACATGTTTGTTTGCTAAACACTTGTTCAACATCATCTTTATCACTACTCCCTTACACTGGTTATTCTCATCATTTGTTATTAAATGCTTATCATTGGAAAAAGCATTCTCCCAACAAATATATATTTATTTCCATTACATACATGTAGAATATGCTATATAACTCTAGCCTAAGGATGTGTCTCTCAGAGTCAGAGCACATACATGCTTAGCAAGCCCAAAGTTCTGGGTTCAACACACTCACACACTCACCAAGTAGAAATCTTTGTAGGATGAGAAAAACAAACACTATAGGAGTTTTCAAAATCTGAGTACCCCAATGATTGTTTTTGTGTCCCCTCCCATATATATGTGTGTGTATATATGTACATATTGTATATACATTACACATAATGTCCCTACTATATATAAAATGTAGGTTTTACACACACACACACACACACACACACACACACACACACACACTCATAACCTAATCTTCTTAGACATGACATTAGGTCTTCTCTCCTCATGACTGGTTTCCAATCTGCCAGGCTAGCCTTCTCTATCACTGCTTCACGTGACTTCCATCACGCGGTCTGCACTGCACCCTTCTGCCACCCTACTGCTAAGCTGTTTCCTTCCCCCTCCCCGGGAATCTCCCTGTGTAACTCTCTGGGTGTAGGAATCCCATCCATCCAAACATGGTTCTACCACTGCCTTCTGTTTAATGATTTCCTTGACCATCGAACCTGAAGCACCACCTGAGCTCTACCTTCACAGACTAGCATAATCCATGCCGCCTCATCGTACCCACACCAGCTCTCTGGGTCATTTTACTTTCCTTTTATGGGCCTCAGGAGCCCTGCCAAGATGGGAGTAATCAAGAACAAGTGGGTGCCAATGCAGGGCTCCAGATTCCAAAAGCCCCGTGCCTACAACACACCCACTACTGGTGCGACCTTTGAAAACTCTGATAGTTCATCTCTGAGGACAACTTGAAACTGGACTTAGAATCACCTAAAGATTGAGAGCAGCTTCACTAATTAGAAGACACACCGAGCGTGGGTGGCACCGCCCCATGGACCAGGCTTTCAGACTGGATAAAAAGTGGAAGCCAGCCAGTTTCACACACAGAGTCATCTCACTGTATGCCTGGACGGCAAACACAATGGGACCAGCTACCTCACACTCCCGCTGCCATCAGCTAGAGCCTCCCTTGCCCCATGTCTTCCCACAGTCATGGAATGCATCCTGAACTGTGAGCCACAATGAGTCTTCCCTTGCTTTTCCGCAGGTATTGTCACAACAGAGAGAAAAGTAACTGCTGTGGAATAATCTTTTTGTATACTGTGAATATGTGTCACTCAAATTTGTTTAATAAAAAGCTGAAACGCCAATAACGAGGCAGGGTTTGGGGGGGCAGAGAGAACACTGAGAAGAAGGGTGGAGTTTCGAGTAGTAGCCAGCCAGCCATCGACACAAAATTGCATAGAGGTTAAAGCCATGTGGTAGGACGTAGATTAAAACACATGGATTAATTTAACTTATAAGAACTAGTTAGAATCAAGCCTAAGCTATCAACTGAGCTTTTGTAATTAATAAGAAGTCTCCGTGTGGTTATTTGGGAGCTGGCAGGTGGGACAGAAAAATCCAAATATAACCCACTAGTAGACTCGGAATGCTCTGTAAAACCAAGAGCCCACTCATCCCAAGTCCATCAGAGTCGGTGTATGTTTGGCCAAGGGTGAAGCCCTCATCATGTTTATACCAGCATCCCTGCCCACCCAAAAGTACCTCTCATGTTCTTTGCAGTTGGTATACAATCAAGCTAAATTTCATTCATTGAAGGGTTGTCCCCCCCCATCCATGGCAAGTTCTACAATTACAGTTGGAGATTACAGTTGGAGATAGCTCAGAAGCAGAGAGGGTGGAGGCTGGTAGTGGGGGCCCCTCACTAGGCGAGTCACTCAGGACCCATGTCTAAATCTCCTTATTTGTAATATGAAGACAATCCTCCCTTCCTCATGGAGTTGTTATCAATTAACTTAAAAGATCAATTCAGGACCTAGCACACTCAACATACACCAGATGTTATGTAATTCACTTTACATCTCCACATGCTAGGTTCATGACCAAAAATGCCTAATCTCAAAAGATAATTGCAAATCAAGAGAAATTTAGAGAATGTGGAATGATGTAATCAAGATAAAAAATACACTTCATTTTTTTTTTTTTATGTTAAGGACTGAATTCAAAGCCAAACACCCTCGCTACCATACCACATCCCAAGGGAATCCTATTGTTTGAAACAGCCTGCTACCTAAAACTCCCAGTTACTTAGGAAATTAGTTGACACCCAACAGTACCTGGAATCTGATTTTGCTTTGTAAGGAACAGCCCAGCAAGAGCTGGTTGTGATGGTGCAATCCTTTAATCCCAACACTTGGGAAACAGGCAGTTTGAGGCCAGCCTGGCCTACATAGCAATTTCCAGGCCAGGCAAAGCTACATCGCTGGTCCCGTCTAAACAAATAAAAGAAAACTGCTAAGTCGGTAATTTTTTTAGTAAAGTAGGAAGCTAATTCACATGGAATGAACCAATTTATAGTATATAAAATAACTAGGGGATTGATGAGATGGCTCAGCTGGTAAAGTTACTTGCTGCCACGCCTGAAGACCTAAATTTTATTCCCAGGACCCACACATACTCAGACAGAAAAAAGTTGCATGCACACACACAAAAAAATGTTAAAAAATTAGCCGGGCGTTGGTGGTGCACGCCTTTAATCCCAGCACTCGGGAGGCAGAGGCAGGTGGATCTCTGTGAGTTTGATACCAGCTTGGTCTACAAGAGCTAGTTCCAGGATAGCCTCCAAAACCACCCTGTCTCAAAAAACAAAACAAAACAAAAAAACAAAAAAAATGTTAAAAAATTAAATGCATACTAAGGTGTATGTAAGTAGGAGTGGGGAGATGTGTGTGTATTCATTCTTCCTTTCCTGCCTTAACTTTTTTTTTTAAAGATTTTATTTATTATGTATACAACATTCTGTTTCCATGTATATCTGCACATCAGAAGAGGGCACCAGGTCTCATAACGGATGGTTGTGAGCCACCATGTGGTTGCTGGGAATTGAACTCAAGACCTCTGGAAGAGCACTCAGTGCTCTTACCTTTGAGCCATCTCTCCAGCCCCTGCCTGAACTTTTTAATGAATAAGATCTAAAGTACACACCTTGTGCTAGTCAGAGGCATTGGCAATTACTGTATGTCTGACTCTCCCTGCCCTTAAGGCAAAGAACAAGCAGGGGCCTAGTTCTTCACCTTCTCTCTACCCCTCCTAGCATAAAGCTCACATCCAATCTTCAAGGGATTTACAAATGATACACCTAAATGGACATATAAGCAAAGGTGTTTACGGACACAGAACTAAAGTCCTCCGTCAGTCACAGTATCTAACTTTTGGGGGTGTAGAGACAGTGAGGCACCACACCTGAATGAGTTTTCGCTGACTCTAAGTACAGTCATGTTACATGAAAGCTTTCCCACGTCACAGGTTTTGCCCCTTAAAGGGCCAGAAGAGTGTCTGGGAGCCCCTTAAGATCGAAGTCCTGTAAGCTCCCCACCAGACCCACGGTGGACAGAAGTGTGGTCCTGGGCAACAGCAACAGCCAAGAAAGGCGGTTAAATTGGAGCAACCCCCGCAGTTTGGAGGAGTGAAAGCTGGAGGCCAGGCGACTACAGAAAATGAGTAAGCTGGGAGGGACTTTAGCTATGAGAGTTCTGGAACTGCCCCTCTAAAAAGGGCCCCGGCGTCTGACCGAGGGACAACTACACCCACAGACATGGAGTCAGCCCCAGACTGGGGCTGGCTTCAAGACACAGTACAAAGATAAACAAATCAAGGCACATGGGGTCAGACGTTTGGAAATAACTTTCGGAAGAAGGGGCTCCCCCGCGGCACTGCGCCCCCCGCTGGGCCCTGTTTTCCCAGCTCACTTCACTGCGCCCTAGGCCGGCTCCCCTGCAGCTGCGGCCGGAGAGAGTTGGGATTCGGCCCGGGCCTGCCCCGCCTTAGTCCCAGGTCCGCTCCGGCAGTCAGAGAAGCAGGCCCTGTCGCCCACCTTGGTGCTGGGGTCCGGGTCGGAGCAGCAGCTGATGGCGGCCTCATCCGTGAGGCCGCTGGGCGCGGGCTGTGGCTCTGCCATGGCCGTCCTGGAGGATCGCCCGCCGACCAGCTCTGCCGACAAACCAGCGGGCCACGAGCTCCGCAAAGACCGGGGGCCGCCTCTGCAGCAGACCGAGTGACCCGCAAGGAGCGGCCGCCCGCCGCGGCTCCCAGCCAATCGCGGTGCGTATGGTTGCTGGCTTTCTGCTGATTGGATCCCAGTGAACCCGGTTCCGTAGGGCGAAACTACAATTCCCAAGATGCCATTGCGCACCATGGCGGCAACTCTTTAAAAATCTACTAGGCCTCCTTGCATAGTTGGCTCACGCCTTTAATCCCAGCACTCGGGAGGCAGAGGCAGGGGGCTCTCTGTGAGTTCGAGGCCAGCCTGCTCTACAGAGCGAGTTCCAGGACAGCCTCCAAAGCAATACAGAGAAAACCTGTCTTGAAAAAACAAAACAAAACAAAACAAGTCTCCTAGGTGCTTGATCAGCGGTTTGGGTGTTACTCAGTGACCTGGTTTTATTTATATGCAAATGTTGACTAACCACCCATCCCTTAGGGCAGCAGCTTCGTAGAAAATTGAGGCCTGGTGGAAGTTACTTTTTAGAATAATGAGTTTCTTTTTTTCTTTTTTTTGTTTTTCGAGACAGCGTTTCTCTGTGGCTTTGGAGGCTGTTCTGGAACTAGCTCTTATAGACCAGGCTGGTCTTGAACTCACAGAGATCTGCCCTCCTGTGCCTCCTGAGTGCTGGGATTAAAGGCATGGGCCACCACCACTGGCTAAATGTGTAGCCCAGGCCTCGAACTCCTGCCACAGCCTCCTTCAGCAAATCCTATCGGCAAACACCACCACAACCAGTTAATCTTTTTTTTTTTTAAATTGTGTAAGAATCCGAAGTTTATTCTCTCACTTGAATTGGCCAGGATAATTGAAAACAATTCGAGTTTAGGTTTTTTGTTTTCTTTTAAAACTACTAAGTTTAAGTATTGCTTGCACTATATATTGTCCCCAGGAGCTTGAGACACATGACACCCATCGCTGCCCTTTCCATCTGTAGGCAAATGTACTGACAAGTACCATACACACACACACACACACACACACACACACACACACACACAGAGAGAGAGAGAGAGAGAACATGAAAAACGTGATATCAGTGTGTTATTGGTTGTTTTACCCTTTTGGCTCTTTGTTCTGTCCTTTTTTTTTTCGGGGGGTGGGGAGTGGGGGTAGCGCACAACCCAGCTCCCAAATAAACCACACATGGAGGCTTATTCTCACTTATGAATAAGCCCTCCCTTAGCTTGGCTTATTTTCAGCCAGCTTTCCTTAACTTAAATTATCCCATCTACCTTTTGCCTCTGAACTTTTACTTTTCTCTATTTCTGTATATCTTTTCTTTCCTTCTTATTCCATGTCTGGCTGTGTGTCTGTCCTCTTTTCTTGATCCTCGATCTTTCTTCCCACATTTCTGCCCCTTTTTATTCTGCCAGTCTCGCCTATCCATTAGACAAATAAGGTGTTTTAGACAGAGTTAAATGCAACATAAAAGAATGCAACATACACATCTTTGCATCATTAAAACAAATGTTCCACAGCATAAAGAAATGTAACACATTTTAAAATAATATTCCACATTAGTGTAATTGTTAGAAAAACAATATAATACAACATCATTTTTCAAAAGATTTAAAATATGTAAAACAATACAGTGTATTATTTATAGCCAAACACAATCCAGTCATGGAATCTAGAAGCACCTGGGAATAAGCAAGTTCAAGCTTGAGAACAGGATTTCGAACAGTGATGGTGGCACACACCTTTAAGCCCAGAACTCCAGAAGCAGAGGCAGGCAAAAGTCTGTGAGTTTGAGGCTAGCCTGGTCTACAAAAAGAGTTAACTTGTTACACTCATGTCCATTGTGTGCCATGAGGAGAGAGACAACACTTATGGGTTCCAAAGTCTTTAATAAACCACCACATAAATGGGGCTGCTGATGGAGCAGGGCTGCAGGACAAGGACACAGGAGGGATCCTTGCTTTTCCTGACAGCCCTGAGCATGGGCAGAAGCAGGTTTATAAGTGCAAAACCATAAACACACCTGTGCCAAGTAACAATTACATTTTTACCCATCAGAATTCAGTGATGGGGCAGGGGTGGGGAGGTGGGGTGCTTTCCTTAAGTGTTCCATCATTGTCAACTGGCATAGAATGGAGCTTTTCAGTCCAACCAATCAGATTCATCTGTTTTCTGTTGTTAGCAACAGCCATAATGTTCTAGAGAACTAAGGGGCATTATCAGACTATTTCTGTTGTTGAAAGAGGAGGTTGGTCAGCCATTGGAAAGTTCCCAGCTGCTCTAGGGCTAGGGAACCTGAACTTTGTTTCAACCCTACAGTTAGAATAGAGTCTGGAGTTAAAATGGCACCACTTAGGACAAGGTGTTTTTGCCTGCTCCCTTCATCCTAAGGACGAGAAAGAAGAGAGTGGGAGAGCTCCAGGGAATCTAAGAGTGGACTGCGCTTCATTTCAAGGTATACATTAGGCAAATGAGTAGATATTGTATTATTTATTTATTTATTTATTTATTTATTGGTTTTTCAAGACAGGGTTTCTCTGTGGCTTTGGAGCCTGTCCTGGAACTAGCTCTTGTAGACCAGGCTGGTCTCCAACTCACAGAGATCCACCTGCCTCTGCCTCCCGAGTGCTGGGATTAAAGATGTGTGCTACCAATGCCCAGTATTCATTATTTATGTAAAGGTTAATATTCTATAATACCTTTTAAAAAAACTAAAGATGTAAGTACTACAAGTACAAGCAGAAGGACATATTCTGGGGGGAGGAGCAATTTAGAAATGGTCTCTGTTTAAGACACTCTGAATGCCAATAACTTTCAAAGAGCTCCCCATCCCCTTATTCTTGTACAAGTTGTCTGGAACTCCTTATAGCTGACAAAGAACATGGACACCCAATCCCCCTGCTCTTTATTAAACCAATTAGAGGTTTCTTGGGAGAGACACATCTTCACAATTTTTTTTTTTAAAAGGTTATCCCACAAAGTCAAGACTCTATTGCCAAATAACATCACATTCTTTAGGGGACACAATTGAACCCATTATCAGGGGTGTGGATCTGTTACTTTGCTTATATTTCCCAAGACAGGGTTTCTCTGTGTAGTCCTGGCTGTCTCAGAACTCACTCTGTAGACTGTGCTGGCCTCGAACTCACAGAAATCCTCCCGCACCACCACCACCTGGCAAAAATAAATCTTTTAAAATTAATTACATATATTTTACTAAAATGTTTCATTACTTAAGCTATTATCCCATAGCAAGATTATGTGGTTCTGCTAGGACAATGACAGCATAACAGATACTGATAACCTGTGCAGTTTTGTTGCATTTACCCTGTGATATCTAAGCATTTTGAGTAATTTGTTTGGACTTTTTCTTTTTGTCAGCAACATAATATTTTGCCTACTCCATGAAGCTCCAAGCCAAACTCATCATGAAGCTCCAGAGTTTTGAAACTCGAACAAAGTTAGAACATTTGTTCTTCAAATGAAGACACACAGGAGTAAAGTAATTTCACAACTGGGTTTAGTCAATGAAATAATTATAGCTAAGGAGGACAGTTCCAGCACTGAATCTCAGGTTTTCTGGTTACCAATTCAGTACATTTGTTCACTACATTAAAATACTCTACTAAACTGCTGCTAATAACTGTGAGTGTAGGTTAGACCATTGCTGTGTACTACTGTGTTAAATGTTTCCTATATACACGCCCTTGTGTTTTCTAGGACATTTCCTTCTCAAGGTCCAGGGCACTTAATGTCTTATGCATACACATGAATCATGGCACTGGAAGCCTGAGGCCCCTGGTCACATGGTGTATGAAGGTGGGAAGCAGAGAGAGAGAGGAATGCTGATGGACCTCTGCCCGTGGAATGGTGGCACCCACAAGTAGAGTGGGTCTTCCTGCCTCCTGTGTGTGTGTGTGTGTGTGTGTGTGTGTGTGTGTGTGTGTGTGTGTGTATGAGTGATATATTATCATAAGCTACATGGTGTTTACTTTCTTATGCCTCAGGAGAGCTCTGTTTTACTGGGAGCTTTCCTGTGTCTTGGGCATCCCAAGAGTGCCCTGATTTGGCAGTGATCCATGAACCTAGTTTTCTGCCAAACCTAATGAGGCTATTGTATGAATCCTGGTGCCCACAGACACAGTACGGCAACATGAATCTCCCTAACAAAACTCTGCCTCTGCTTAGTCTTCTTTCTTTCTTTTTTAAAGATTTTATTTATTTACTATGTATACAACATTCTGCTTCCATGTATATCTCCACACCAGAAGAGGGCACCAAATCTCATTACGGATGGTTGTGAGCCACCATGTGGTTGCTGGGAATTGAATCAGGACCTCTGGAAGAGCAGTCAGTGCTCTTAACCTCTGAGCCATCTCTCCAGCCCCAGTCTTCTTTCTTTTTAAAAGGTTTGTTTTTTATTAATTGTATGTGTGTGCCTGTCTATACATGGATATGAGCAGGTGCCTGTGGAGGCCAGAAGAAGGCATTGGATCCCTTAGAGTTGGAGTCATATAAGTGACTGAGAAACCCCTGATCTGAGGATGGGATCTGAGCTCCATCCTCTGCCATTTCACTCCTAACAGCCGAGCTACCTACCCAGCCACTGGTATTATTTCTTTACTACAGGTTTTCAGAGGAATAATTGATGGGGTTGTCCTTCTGTGCATATTTTTCTCTTATTGGTTGACTCATAGCCTAGTAAATGACGGAATGGACACATGGCTTTGCCAGCATCTCTGCTACCAATGGCCTCAGCAGACACTGGACCAGAGGCAGATGGCAGTTATAGACAGCTTGGCAATCTAGATGACCTGCTCAGCATCTTATATAGGGAACAATAAATAAGTTAGTCTCTGTCTCCTGGGAAGTGAACACCAATTTCATTATGTGGTGCTTGCTAGGACCTTATTTTTGTTACTGAGGTAGCTAAGGGAGCAGCTCAGGCTCCCAAAGTCAGGTGTTGCAGTTGGACATAGTCCCTGTCCTATGGAGGGACAGCTTCACCCTAAACCTCATATTCTACCTTGCTGCCTGGCAGCTTTTCCTCCCCTAGCCCTCTGG